ACCTCACCCCTTTCCTAAGAGGTCTGTAGGGGGCGTGCATAAGCGCACCAATGTGCCTACCGTCCCTGTCTTATTGTTCCTTTTTTTCTTATTCGTATCCATTTCATGTATTCATAACCATGTTTATACTTATAACTGTTATCTAATAATCGCTTGACAAAATAAAATAAATAAATAAAATAGATAAATAAAGAATCAGGACCACACCTCAGGACTACACCTCAGCTTCCAGTTAAGATGATTTATTAATCACGCCTATTCACAAGAATCTAGACAACTAATGGTCAACTCTAAATTAGTGTTAGATAAAATCAACAAATGCAAGAAGTGTTAGACTTAGACCGTTTGCGGAAATGTAACAACTCTGGGTTAATTGACTTTGCCCCCAGTTTCTGCCTGTTCTTCCCCTATAATAATGTGCCATGGGGGATATTTCCTTCTCCCTTGTTATTCAGCATAAAATTGCTTTGAGAAATCATCCAAATGTTCAGACTGTGATACCATCATATGCTGATTATACTCAGCTTTGCATTGCAACCTTTTCCCCTCACAAGGCCTACTAGGATATTGTGTCAAAATTCTGTCCCAGTGACTGGAGGGTATCATGGTATGGATGAGATGATGCCATCTAAATTCAAATCCAAGCAAGACATAGTTACATTTTGTTTATTGCAGTTGTCCCAACCTTGAACTCTTGAAGGGATGACACTGTCCCAAGGAAGTAGGTCCACTATTAGCAGTCTTTCTGGATTTGTGGCTATTGCATGTAGACATTGTGGCAGTGTACAACTTTAATAAATAAATGCTTTTCACTCATTGTATGGGTGATTATCTAGGTAAATTGTTTACTTAAATTTTCTTCTGAAGTTAATAAAAGGAAAATGTTGCATTTATTCTGACTAGGCATTTGGAGTGATAGGAAGCGAGTTTGGTCTAGTGATTAAGATACCAGGTTAGGACCTAGGAGACTGTGAATTCTAGTCCCTCCTTAGTCACAAAAACTGTCTAGGTGACTTTGGGCCATCACACTCCCTCAGCCCAGGCATCACAAGGTTGCTGTTATGGGGAAAATAGGAGTGTTAGTATGTTCCCTGTCTTGAGTTATCTATAAAAATAATAAAGGCAAGATAAAGACATTAAATAAAATGTTTATTGATACTCTATTGATATTATTATAAAATGCTCCATCGTAAAAGGATTATTTTTGTAGCCTACTGTGTCAATTACAATGAATGCTATAAGCTTGTTTGACATGCAATTACAGGTAGTCCTCAATGAGGTTATGACCCCAACTGAGGCCAAAATTCCTGTTGCTAAGTAAGACATTTGTTAAGTGAATTTGCCCTATTTTACATTCTTTCTTGCTACAGTTGTTAATCACCACAGTTGTTCAGTTAGTGGCACATTTGTAAAGTAAATATGGCTTCCACATTCACTTTGCTTATCAGAAGGTCACAAAAGGTAGTCACATAACCCTGAGGTACTGCAACTGTCATAAGGATAATATTGAATTGAATAATTCAGGATTAAAGAAGTTTTCTTTTTTACTGTAATGTTTAGAAATATCAAGTAGTCTGGTTAGGACTTAAGATCAGTAACCTCCATGATTCATCTGGGAAAAAATACCACAGTGACATGGAATAATTAAAATCCGGGGGGGTGGGGAATCTGCTGCCCAATTTCCTGTGTCTCCTTTTACTTAATGCAACAATCCTTTTATTAAAAATACATCCTGTTGGTAGAATATCAGGCAGTGATTTTTGTAGTACTGGTAGTCCTCAGTTACAACCACAATTGAGCCCAAAATGCATGCTGCTAAGTGAGAAATTTGTTAAGTGAGTTTTGTTCCATTTGATGATTTTTCTCGCCACATTTGTTAAGTGAATCACTGCAGTACTTAAATTAGTAACAGTTGTTGAGGGAATCTTGCTTCTCCATTGACTTTGCTTGTCAGAAGGTCACACAAGGGGATCACATAAGTCTGGGACACTGCAACCAACATAAATGTGAGTCAGTTGTTAAGCATCTGAATGTAAATTACGGGACCATGGGGCAAACTCTCATAAATCATTTTTTTCTGTGCTGGTGTAACTTCTAACGGTCACTAAATGAACTATTGTAAATTGAGGAATACCTATACATGGTGAGATCAAGAAACAAACTACTGACTTCCGGTTTGAAGGGCTTCAGCGACAGACAGAAATCTGCGATTGTGTGCGGTTTCTGTCTGGGCTCGCCGCTGGAGCGCCCCGAGCCGGCTGGTTTCGGGGCTAAGCCACCCCGTAGGGGTGGTGAAGAGGGGGGAGACTGCCAGCAGGGTTGAGGAGAGCCGCATCTCTCCTCCCCAGCTGGCCATTACTCCCTTTCCCGAAGGCGGTTGCAGCGGTGGTCAGAAATGGCCACCACAAAGGAGAACGCGACCGGAAAAGAATGTGCAGGAGGAAGATAAGAAGTGAAAGTTTTGGCTGACCAGGTTAAATTGTAAAAGCAACAACTAAGGTACCCTGGAATTTAAACTTACAAAAAATAATATCACTCCCAAAGAAGAGTCGGAAGCAATGAAGGAAAGTGAAAAGGGAAAGGTTTGGCTTTTTTTTCCTTCTCTCTCCTTCCCTATACTGACAACTAAGAGACTTAAATAAGAAATCAGAAAAATCTGCTTTGACATCAATAGGCAATTAAGCTGAAAATAAAACAAAATGCCAAAGGGATAATAAAAATTTCTGGACATTAAAATTTTTCTTTTTCATAAGCAGGAAGGGAGAGAAAAAGAATAAGGGCAGGATCTGGAAGAGGGAGGAGACTGCCTGGAATTAAAAAGAATCTACAGTAAAACTTCAACAAGACTTCTAAAAGATACATTTTAACTGAAACTTTGCAACTAAATAGTAACCCCAGGAAGAGAAAGTGAAAAAAAAAAGAGCAAAAAAGAAACAGCTTGCGTGTATTTGGATTATTTGGTGATCTTTGGATTCTTGGTTATTATATTTGAATGACTAAAATAAATCAGGTGGTTGTTTAAAAATTTATACAACGGCACCACTTCTGGATGAATTGAAAATGGAACTTAAAAAGTACAAAGAAGATGCACAAGAAGGGAAGGGTTCTTTTGGCTTCGTTTTTCAAATGGAGATTTGGAACTATGAGAAACAACAAGAAAAGACTGCAAAACAAGAAGACTGGGACAAAGAAGAAGCCATCTTTAATGAACAAGCAATTTTATGTGGGGAAGAAAAAGGAAAGGGGGGAAAGAGAATGGAGAATTTAAGACTTAAAAAAACAACCAAAGAAAAGAAAAATAATTCAAAAAATAAGTATAATACTGGAAAGCAACAGAAAAGGGGAATACAGAAGAGAGAAATAGAGGTAGAGAGACAAGGGGGTAAAAAGGGGAGAGAGAAGAAGAGAGGGAAGAAGGAAAGGAAAAGAAGTTACAAAGGACCGGAGCAAGATATAGAGAAACAGGACCTATTTAGAGATAATGGGTGAAAATCTAACTGAAAAGGGGATTCTGTAAAGGTACATAAGATTGTATTGTTATATTAGTAATAGAAATAACTTTAGAAAATTGGAAACAACGTATGATTAAAATGAGGGATAAAATAGTTAGTGTAATTTAGTGAAATGTTTGTGAATAAAATAAGTGAAATAAAATAAATGAGAAAATTGAATTAGGAAGGAACAGGAACATTTTAATTAGTTAATGTTTTATAAAATATAAGTGAAGGGGGGGGGAATTAACTATGGAAAGCTTATAATTGTTCCCATAGAAGTATGATATTTAATTGAAAAGTAATGTTAAAGATGTTAAGACTTTAATGAATATTAATATTAATGATAGAATTGAATTGGAATGGAATGTTGTTTTAATTATATACATTTATATATTTTTTTCTTTTTTTAAGAATACAGTATGTATTTTAAGAATGTACCAAGCAGAATCCGAATGGAAGTTATGTATTATATTGAATGTTACAACTTTAAGGAAAAGATATAAAGGCGTCATACTCCAATCAGTAACTACAGGAGAAATTTTGTTTAATGAGAAAAGATAATAGATAATTGAAACAGGACAGACAAAAAATATAAATACAATGATTTGAATTGAGATGAGATAATTAAAATAAAATTGAGAAAATTAAAAGAGGGGAGAAGCTATGCAGAAAATGTAAAATAGTAATAAGATATGGAATAGAATATAAAAATGAGCATGAACCTGAATTTGTGTCTGTACGAAGAAATGTAACCCGGGATTACGCTATTTTCAAAAAAGATGTTTTATTTGTATTTTTTTTCTCTTTGTGAAAACTCAAATAAAATTTACAAAAAAAGAAAAAGAAAGAAACTACTCTTTCATATTGTCTTGCTGACGCAAGTTGTAGGTTTGGGACATGATGCATCTTTTGCCTGTTCTCCCTTGCCCAGCTGATCCCTATGAATGTAATGGACTGCAAACCAAATGCTTTTTTCAATGCAAAAAACCTAGATGTACAATTCAGAAATTATGTCTCCATTTCCTAATTCTTTTTAGGAAACAATAAGTCTTTAAATAATTTAATCTGTTTTCGAAGATCAAATGTTCCAATAAGCTTTTCTTACCAAAGTTGAGATGAATATTTCTCATGAATTAAATATTTATAGTTTTACAATAAATATCCTTAAGCTGAATGATTTTAGTACCATAATTAGTGGGTTTAGAAAACTAATGTAGATCTTGATTGCTACATAAAATGTTGCATATAAATTAAACATTAAAAAGGTGGATACAGACAAAACAGCCAGTTCAGTTGTTATCTCCAGTTATACAGTTACAACCTCAAGGACATTCAACCATTCCATATTGTATCTTTCTTTTTGAAAGATGAGTACTTGGGTTCAAGTAACATTTCAGCCAGGTAGTAATTGCATAATTTATAGACCTTTTGAAAAAGAGGTAAACTGCTTTTCTTAAATTTTCTGTCTCTTTTCTCCTCACCCCAGAATCTTTTTGTCTCTTACAGATTGGAGCACTGAAGGATTATTACCATTTTTACCATAGTAAAACAATTAAAAGGTCAGTTCTCTCAAGTAGAGGTACTCACAACTTCATTTCCATGGAGCCAAAGGTAAGCTAATCTAATTAGTCAACCATGTTTGATTCAAGCTTTTGCATTTTTAATTTGAAACTTTACGCCAGGGGATGTTTACCTGGATAACATCTACAATTACAAGAATTGATTGTCATTTGCTCATTAAGATTCCATTTCATATGAGAAAAGAAAGTAGTATTCTAATGTTTTAAGAATAGTGTGTCACCATTATTTATAGAATATTATATTACAGATTACAGATTAACAGAATTGTAAAGGACCTTGTAGGTCATCTAGTCTAACCCCCTGCCCAAGCAAATGTGATTTTCGTGTCAATGCTATATATATAATATAGCAGTTTATAATTACATTACTTCTAAGCAGTGACCCTTTCTTAGAATGAAGATGGTAGTTTGACTGTAGTTTCTATCTCAAAAGTTCAGTATTGATTTATGTTGTTGAACAAGGTTTTTTTAACAAAATTATCACATTATTTAGCTTAATTGCTATTATTAATTATTATTATTAAACTGCTTTATTAAATTACTGCATACCTCATGTTAATTCTTTATAATTTTTATTTTTCATTTATAACTTTCCCCACAATAAAGCTTTTTAAAAATACTGCCTTTTGTATATAAAGAATCATGCTTCTTTTTACCATAGTGAAACAAATAGATGTGAGTATAACAAGGATTTATCATCACTGGAATTCTTCTCATGGCAACAATTATATTATAATATTTGATTATTTAAAATATATCAACTTAAAAATGTTAATTTGCATCTTAATTCTATTGGTATGCCAGTATGATGTATCTGCTTATGATAATCATATACTGACGGTCGTGATTGAAGAAGATATATTGGTACACTGCAAATATTAACTGGGTATAAAGTTCACTGTGTATTATTTCTTGTTCACAAACAAATGTTAAGACACTTTTATGTTATTGAATGTTATAAATGTGAGAGGAATAGCTTCACATTTTTTGGCAATATCTAAGTTGTTCATCATTTGTTTTATGGATATTGCTTTTTGATAATTTTTCTATATGTTGTATATGATGTGATAGGAACATTAATTAATAATCAGGTAATCTTGGTCAGGCTACATTTCATAGAATATCTTAAAAGCTTCCCACAGAAATAAATTTTAAAATTAATTTTAAGTAAGATATGGATAACTGACACCTTGTACATGTTTAAATTTCACTTTGATGTTTTCGTTTTGATTATAAACAAATTGCTGTAAGCTAGAAATACTGTCTGTAATTTCTTATGAGAAATGTTATTGGCAAGATAGGAATGTGATAGGAATAAATCAGACAAACCTTTAGAAAAATAAAAGTTGCTTTATATTAAAAAATAATATGTGGCTCCTCATATTTATACCTCACTGTCTTTATAATTTTCTGATCAACATATTTTTAAAGGTTGAAGCTATCATACTTTGAATTAATGTATCATTTACATCCCCACTACATTTTAATAACTCTGGATGGTTTACAATAATCAAAAGATGCAAATCAATTGCACATTAATTTACTTAAATGGTATGTTAGAAAATCCAACCATCTTTCTTACTAACTCCTTTGCAATGATTTATCATGCTAAAAATGACGTTCTATATTACTGAGCAAGAAACTTATACTTATTCTGTCCATATTAGAATAACAACAATATAGGCATATAAAATGCCAAGTGGAGCTGGAAACTTTCTTTTTCCTTTCCCTTTCCCTTCTCCTTCTCCTTCCCTTCTGCTGTTCATTGGCCTGGATATCATTTTGAGATTGACAAAATTCATACAGCTGCTTCTTGTTGTCGAAAAAGTAGTAATGATACCTACTTGTCCACTTTATCCTTATTATCAGACCATCTTAGAAACCTAAGCTCTAGGAAATAAGCAGGTATCACATTATCACACATTACAGTATTGAGCAGCAGTACTAACAGCATGTTAAGGTATTTGAATTCAGCTGTAGGAAAGCTATTTATTCTTCCACTGGCTTGAACAAATATAATAGTATCCACGGGTGGGATTCAACCAGTGTAACAACCGGTTCGGTGCGCGTGCGCTTTATGTGTGCGCCTCCGCAGCATTTGCAACTCACCTTCTGCTGCAAGTCCTGCGTGTAAAACAGCTGATGCGTGGCAATCTGCTGTGCCTTGCGAATCAGTTGAGCTGGAAAACCCGAAAATAAAGCACAGACTAGAGCCAGGACAGGCGGTCGGGCCCAACAGCTGATCTTTGGAGCTACCAGTTCGCCTGAACTGGCCCGAACCGGTAGAATCCCACCCCTGATATATGATGTATGTTTATATATGATGTAGGGATATTACTAATTTTACCAATTTACCAATATTATAAATCATTATCATTATTCATACATAGCTTTAAAATTTAAATCATGATTTACAATATGCAGTGACTATTTTCACATATCACATTGAGCTAAAACCAAACAGACTATATTATGATTTAGCACAATATGTGAATCCAGCCAGAATGAAAATACAGTATAAGACAAACATCATGTATTTCAAAGCTCTTAATTTAGAAAAAGGGAAAATATCTCATTGAAGAAGGAAAACAGCCAAATATTGGGCACTCAAGATTGAAAATGTTATATATTCAAACGTTAAAGATTGGCTTCTTAGCTAACTGTTGGATATCTTTCTCCAGATGCAAAATCCTTTAATCTTTGCATGGACTTGTCTAATACTATACTTTAGGAAAATCCCATTATTATAACTTATTAACCACAAACCACACATAATAGAGTCTGAATTGTTTTTGTTTCCTGATGACCATAATACTTGGTAGAGTGAGTTTTGAGCATAGAAGTAGTGGATAAAAGATATTCAGTGAGGAAATGCTAAAATGTATCTGAAAACAAAATTTTGAAAGACAGTTTATACCAAAGAAAGGGTAATGAGAAAAAAATAAAGCACTTTATCACTACTATTCTCCTCAACATCCAAAAATTGCTTTTTAGTTAAAAATTAAAATAAATATAAAAATTGTTGTTTTTAAGTGGCGCACATTACCACAGCTACTTGTTTTTAATGAGCATATGGATTTAGCTTACTATTTGACAGAAGATAAAGTAGATGTGAACAAGCACTATGGACTGTATCACATTTCTGGAATACTGCATTCTGTTTTGGAGGTCACATAAGAAGGGAGAAAGAAATTGGAACTGTTGATGGTGGACCTGAGAAGGTTCAAGGGGAAGGATTTAGAAAGATCTGTTTCTTGCTTTGCTCTTGTCTCTAGTTGTGTATTGCTATGAAGAATGCTACTACTACTGTGAGGAATACCATGAAAAGCAGTGATAGCAACAATTATGGAACTTTGAAGTAGAGCTGTTATCACCATCCTTAGAGGCTGAGCAGGGGAATGAAGAACAGTTGGAGACTAGACTTCTGCTTCTGATCTGAGATAATCTGGCTCTGGATGTGGAAAGGCCACATGATGGCTGAGACCAGTGGAGTATGTGCTGAGTTTGGAAAAATGTGAGGATGAAAATGCAGAAATAATTATTGGTTGAAATGCTGCAATGGTTCCCAAATTGGGACTGTGATAGGCAGGGGCACAAATAGTGGGAGGGCATTAAGTAAGCTGTTATAGGAGATCCACATATTCATGCATGTCTCTTCTTCTAAATCAGTTTCCCCAATCCTAGTCCAGATTGAAACATTATCAGGTGACCTGGTCTCTAAGATGCTGGTATATGTCAGGTCTGTGGCATTTAGATTATATCCATCTACAACATGGCTGTTGATGAGCATGTAGACTTGTTGGGTCTACATTCCTGACTGGGAGCAATGAAGATGTAGCTCTCATATTTTGTATCCAGGTTTCGGGTCCTGCAGCAGCACAGCATACATTTATGTGAAAGACTCACAAGGAGCATTATGTAACGGTATGTGGGAGACAGATTAGACAACTGTCATTCAAAGGGTATTTCAGGGCAGATGGGAAGCATTTCAAATCAGATTTTCCCTAGTTTTCTGGTGAGTAGAAGAAAGCAGGAAGATTCTGTATTGTAACTGATTTGTTTCTCTTCTGTCCTACCTTGAAGAGCTAACATATTGCCCTTGAGGTGGCTGGTGTCAATGCCTTTGTATTTGAATTGGGCTTGAAAATAAGCTGCACTGCTGTTGGCACTGACTACCTGACCATTTAGCAGCTGCCTTTTATATGTATATTGTCTCATGAGTATATTGTCTCATGATTTCTACAAAGTTCCTAAAGGTACTTTAGTGATCTGGCTCTTCAGAGTTCAGAGCCTCCATGGTGACCACTGACTTATTACAAATAATCAAACCTAGCACATGGTTGAAACAGTATTTATTTTGGAACATACAAGGACACTGGAATTTGTTTTTTGGTGTGGTCAGATCACTTGCCAAATTATACATTGTAGGTGCATCTCTAGTGGAACCCTGATGATGAATGAATTCAGGGAGATTCAGAGATTTCAGAAACTACTTGGAAAGTTTTTTTTAAAAAAAGTTTGGTAGTTGAAGCTGCTGGGAGACATGATTTGTCAGTTCAGAATGAGGAGTCATTGGTATGATGATTACCCCAATTATACATAACTAGCCTAGGCAGACATGATGCCATGGAATGTCTGAACCAATGTCTGAGAGCTATTAGGCACTGGAATCAGGTGAAACAATTCCAAATTAAATCCTACAAATATAACATTGCTAGGGCCATCTAGTAACATCAGTCTGGGATTACTGAAGATGGTATTGTACTTCCTCTGAAGAAGTTGAATTTGTACAACCTTTGTGTGGCAACTTGGTTGGACTGCTGCAACATATTCTACATGGAGCAGCCTTTGGAAAAGCTTTTGTTGGCAGAAAGTATCTGTTGATATTTGAGAACGAAAGTCCCCTTAGAGCAGGGGCATCAAACTTGTGTCATCATGGCGTCATGTGATGGGGCGGGACTTTTTTCCCCTTTGCTAAACCAGGCAGGGGCGGAACCAGCCCATGACGCACCTGGCCCGCGGGCTGCGAGT